CCAGAATATATAAAAGTGATTATGCCAAGGCCTTAAAAGATGACAAGAGGATTTTTCCAGCTTCTTATAGGAGCCCTGATGGATGACACATTGGACTGCTAACCACAAGGTCAGCAGTTCGAAACCACCAACCACCCCAAGGTAGAAAAATTAGGCTTTCTACTTTCCATTAAAAACAAACAAACAACATTCTCAGAAAAGAAAAGAAATTCTCAGAAACCCACAGGGGTAGGATCACTGGGCTGGCACTGACTTGACGCTGGCGAGCTTGGTTCAGGTTCCCTTCCTGTTGCTGTTCATCTCCATGTTATCTTTTAGGGGAGTAGCTGAAAGGCGTTGATATTGTAAAATGTAGAGATGTTTCAGAATGAAACATGAAGTTTTCATCATGGAGATTCTGTAATAATCACCAAGGAGCCCCTGGTTGATGGAAACAGTTAGTGTGCTCTGATGTTAGCCCAAAAGTTGCTGTTTCAAGTTTACCCTGTGGTGTCTTGAAAGAAAGGCCCAGTGATCTACTTAAAAAAAGAAAGAGAGAGAGAGAGAAAGCCATTGAAAATCACATGGAGCACAATTCTACCCCTGACACACACCGGTCAGAATTAACTCCATGGCAACAGGTTTTATCATCAGAACATGAGAGGGTTCCTTTGTTAAACATAGTTAAGTCATCTCTATGAGGTAGGCTGACATGTATGGTTGATGCTGTAGTGATTGGTAAAATCCACTAGTAATTCTCTTCGAGAATCATTCAGCCTCTGTTGATTCATCGAGAGTCCTAATAAAATTAGTCACTTTGTAAGTTTCAACCTAGGAATTCTATCACTGTTGTTATGGAAACCGGCATTAAAAATTGTGGGCTGAGGAAGAAAAACAATGGATGCTAAACATCAATAAAATACATGAAAAATAACTTGCTTTTTATGCAGAATTTTTTTAGGCATGACACCTGGACCCAATCTGAGATTAATAAGATCCCAAACTGATCATTAATAGTTTTTCTTAGAAACTCTGGACACAACAAATTGCAAATTCTTGGAAACAGCATTTTCATCTGGAGACTTTCACACCACTGCCATCATTGTCGAGCTGCAGGCAGGGCTCCAGGGAGATTCTAGGCAGTCGTGACAGGCGACACATGTAGCCAGATAATGGCTTCACCTTAATTAATCGGAATAAAATTGATGATCCTTGCTGAGAATCCCTATCTGTTGAAATGGCTTGCTCCAGCTAGAAAAGTCTTGGCCTGAACTAGTCTTGAGTAGAGCCGTCTGTTGAGTTCATCTCGAGGTGGCTAGATGGACTGGGGTGGGTGGTGGAGATCCTGGGGAGGTGAGCAGAAACACTTAGCACCCACGATGATACCCAGGAGCCTTGGTGGCGTAGTGGTTCTGGGTTGGACAGTGAACTGCAAGGTCAGTAGTTTGAAACCACCACTCGTTCCTTAGGGGAAAGGTGGGGATTTCTTCTCCCATAGGAGTTGCAGTCTCAGGAACTCATGGGAGCAGTTTCTACCCTGTCCTATAGGGTCACCATGTATCGGCCTTGACTTTATAGCAGTTTGTTGTTTTTATTTGTTTGTTTTGTTTTCGTGGTCCCCAGGGGCAGTGAGTGCCCTGTCTGGTCACTGGAGGTGGTTGCCACTGGTTGGGGTTTATTTAAGTGCATCGTTTGTGTGTTTCTTTGAAAGCATGAAGCATGGTCTGTGGTATTAGTGTTCTACGATGGAGCACTAGAGGCCCTGAGGCACACTGTCAGATTTGGAGCTGGATGGGAACTTGTTGTTAGCTCCAGCTCCTCGGTTGTGCCATCTTCATGATCCTTGGTCTGCTGCCGTTCATCATGGCAGCCCCTGCACATTTGGGGCGTCTTCCAACCAAGTGAGCTCATCTTCAGCACTATGTTGGGCAGTAGTCTGTTGTAATCCATAAGGTTTTCACTGGCGAATTGTCAGAGGTAGATTGCTAGGCTTTTTTTCATCCTAGGCTGTCTTAGTCTGGGAGTCCTGCTTGAAACCTGCCCACAGTGAGTGGTCTTCATAGTATTTGAAGTATCAGTGGCATAGCTTTCAGCCTCATAGCAACCTGCAGCCACCACAGTTGGACAGCCTGTCAGATGGGTGGTGGAGAGGAGATCATAGAGGTTTCCGATGGAAGAAATAGAAGCTTAGGCATTTGCAGGGATTGCACCTTCTCATGATGATGGGGTCAGAGGCAAGCGTCAGACTGGGCTGCCTCCTATGTGTATGCTAATATTTTTCCTTGGGTCTTCAGCTGTACATACGAGTGTGCTGCTACTTTGAGCCATGTGTTTCTTTCTGCTTTCTTTTTAGTCTTTGCATAAAAAGGGGTAGGAAGCTTGCCCTGTGATGTCAGGTCTGACCAAATGAAATAGGCTTTACTAATTTTTAAATTAAATCTACATTTGTCCAAGGGGAAGAAAAAAATGATTTTTATGGTTCTGTGAAATCGAGTTTTCAAATAATTCATTTGTGTGTATTTATGCCTTTTGTGACCCATGGGACAAACAGTGTCCAATTAAATTTTATGTCCTTGGGGTTTAGTGGAAAGCTGTATCCCACTTTTAGTGTGTGCTGCCATCAGTTGGGAGCCCATGTAACTGTGAATCTTAAGGAGCAAGCCTTATCCCATCAACACCAGAGACCCCACAGAACATGTGTGTCCCACTAACTGTATCAAAAGAGTATTTGATGCATTTGAATTATGGTGCTGGCAAAGAATATTGAAAGTACCAGGGAATTCCCAAAGAACAAACAGGTCAGTCTTGAAGAAATGCAACCAGAATGTTATTTAGAAGAAAGGATTGCAAGATTTCATCTGGCCTAATTTGGACATGTTGTCAGGAGAGACTAGTCCCTGGAAAAGGACATTATGCTTGGGAAAGTAGAGTGTGTTAGTCTGGGTACTTTAGAGAAACAAATCCACAGAAACTCATGTATAAGAGAGCATTTTATATAAAGGGTAGGTGCACATCAAGAAAACATCCCAACCCAGTGCTGTCCAGGCCCACAAGTCCAACGTTAACCCATATGTCCGACACCAATCCACAAAGTCCTCCTCCATCTCACAAAACA